GCAATGGCATTGCGCCCCCCCTAGGGGGCGCGCCCCACACTTTGGGAACCACTGCTTTAATCTAAGAATACTTAATTTTTTTTCTCAGAATTCTGACTTTAATCTCAGAATTCTGAATTTTTTTCTCAGAATTCTGACTTTAATCTAAGAATTCTTACTTTTTTCTCAGAATTCTGACTTAAATCTCAGAATTCTGACTTTTTTTCTCTGAATTCTGACTCTTTCTCAGAATTCTGACAGCTAACAAACATGTTAACATCAAGCAGTAGCCATGTCTGTTTTAGAGATTAGCTCTCTTGTTTTAACGACCTTCTGCTCTTCCATTAATGAAATAACATCACTGGGGACCCCTTGGCCACGTAAAAATTTGCCTAATTTCATCATTTTCCACCAATGTGTTACTGACCCTCCCAAACAACTCACATCTTTGTCAGTGAAGGTGAGTGTTCCCATATCTCTTCCTTCATGGTGCCCATCTACATTAAGATCCAAAATTCTGAGATCAAAGTCAGAATTCTGACTTTTTTCTGATATAATACTGAAATAAAATCTAAAAATCACATTTTTTTGTTTTTTCATTGGCCCTAATCCTCTTCCATATTAATTTGTTCTGTCCCCCTTGAAAAAAAAAAGAAAGAAAACGGTCCCCTCGGCTAAATTTAGTCTAGAACCGCCCCTGTAACTTGTACTAAACAGTATAAATTTCTCTGTCACGACTTTTATTTTGTAACTCTTGACCGGAAGTTCTCCTCTCTCATCCCGCTATGTCGACTCTGCCTCCTCTCGCAGCTCTGAACGCGGCCGAGCAGCAGGGGAGAGTGGTAGTGAATGTGTCTTAGGCTCAGTTTAGCTGTTTCGAAGAGAGAGAGAGAGAAAAAAAAAAAAAAAAAAAAAACAGAAACTACAGCAGAAGAAGAGAGGACCAAACCCCGGCTCACCCTGGACTATGATAACCACTACACACAGGCCGGTAATAACGGGACGACATAACGGCTTATTGCACATCTGTAGCGCATAATGAAGGCATCCGCTATTCTTTACGGCTTTCTTTCCAACGTTTAGCCACAACACTATTTATAAATGCGTCTCCTTTTAGACGCCCTCTGAAGGAAAAAAAGAAAAGAAAAGAGGGGTGGGGGGGAAAGCTAGCTTGTCTGGAATTGTGTTGAAAAATCCTCCTCCTGTGGCCTTTGGAGGACAGTGAAGTCATTTGAGAAGGAGAAGAAGAAGAAGACCCGTCCAGATCATCAGCCCTGATACTTTAACACTGGGAACAGAAGCGACGCTGGGCTTTCTAACCGTTCCAACCAGTCAACATCGACTCGTCTCTCATTTCTCCTTCAAATCTTACATGGTTTTTCATTTCTGAGCCGTCATCTCCGACCCTTTTGTGGGTATTTATCCCCCCCTTCCCCTCCTCCCTCCGCCAAATTAAAGGATGCCGGATCAAATATCGGTGTCCGAGTTTCTCTCGGAGACAACAGAGGATTACAATTCCCCGACAACGTCCAGCTTCACCACCCGCTTGCAGAGCTGCAGGAACACGGTGAACGTGCTGGAGGAGGTAAGAAAGCGCAACAACAATGCGAGTTATTTACCGTAAAAAAAAAAAAAATCCCTGCGCTCATAAATCAACACACAGGATGCATGCAGTCCACTTTAAATGCTTGTGTTTCACAGATGCTTCACAGACAGCAGGCAGAGAAAGAGAATACCTGCACCTGTTGCTCTAAAAACGCATTTTTAACCATTAAAACAACAAAAAAGCAGGTGCACCTATAAAAAAGGTGAATATTTCAAATGCATTCAGCCATATTTTAACCTCTTTACCTAATCTCTTTTATCTGAGTCAATCTTGCAGCCCTGCCTCAGCAGATACGTGGAGTGTTAATATGATAGAGGGATGAGGATGGCTTTTGTTGGAGGAGTGAGGAGGGAAATGGAAGGATGTGCACTCAAGGCCTGCAGCTCTCTGTGTTCAGGATTACATAACTCAGGGCTTTGGAGTGAGCTGCCAGGCTTGTAGCCCAGTGTGTGTGTGTGTTTGTGTGACAGAAAGACCTATTTTAGTCACAGGCACTCAGATGTGGATCCCTTCCCTTCTTACATACACGCAGGCTTGAGTGCATTTTATATTTAGGTTTTAATAAAGCCTCAGGATGTGTTTGCATGTGCGCTTCTTTTTGTTTTGCAGCATTGTAGCAGCAGAGCAGCACACACCTTCACTGTAGTCCTCTAATGGCAAAATGTGACCTAATTTCCCCCGCTTTGAACAACTGCATGCCCAAATTACATCAGAGCTGCAGTACTTAGAGTAATAGGCCATGTAAGGGTGCATGAGCTTTATATGTGACACCAATATTTCCATTTGCAATGCTTTGAAACACAAATTACATCAGACTAACTTAATAGGGAGATGATGAGCTGGAAGTATTTAAACATTTTGCTCTGTCTGGTGTCATTAAGTTGAAAACTTCAGCGGCAATTCAAACATTTGGCA